TTATTATTATGGGGATTGGATTGTATTATTATTGTGTGTTTCATGTATCATGCTTCGAGAATGAAATACGAATTAGAAAAGACAATATCGAAATTCCATAAATATTCAAAAAATGGGACGGCGCGCCCACATCTGTACAGCGTACTGACGCCTAAAAAATACAATATTATCTTGGGTCAAAGTGTCCAGCTTTGACCCGATAACATCGTACTCGAAGAAGCGTACACAGAAAATTCCGCAATCTGTGGCGTTACTCTGTTGGGGTGTGCGAACCCGACGCACCCTCCATGGCACCACTGGCAGGTCCGGCCGTGATGCAAATATCCCGCCGTGATGTAGTACCGCAGGTAGGATCGTACAAATGGGCTTCAACTCCTTCTCGAGTGAATCTAGTGGAGTGGCCGATTGGAGTGAATCCCATACGGTTAAGTCACCTTCCACAAGATCAATTCTGAGCATCACCTAGTGGTTTCCACCTATGTTGATCGGGGTGTACACAATGTCTGCATCAGTCCAAGCCACATTCTGGTCCGACTGCCTACCGAACACATACCGAAAGATTGTATTCTCTTGGCTACAGGGGTATTCGATTCTCGTGGACAGGACCCCTGGTTTCATGGCCGCATACGGACCGTCTGTTCGGTTCAGCAGAGTCTGTACAAGAAGTACAAAATGATATTACTTACACAGATAATTAAAATAGTATTTTTTAGTACAAAATAGTAAAAAGTCTGTACCGAAAGTAGCACGTCGCCTATCGCAAACTTTTTGCGACACAGATATATACACTTCTCCAACTTTTTGGCCGTAAATAGGACGAGAGCATCAACTACCTATTGCATTTAAGAAATACAAGTTGATATTGGAATATTATTGACAAATGTAGTACTAAATAGTGGAATAAGAGGTACTTACCTCGTCCTTCAATTGGACAGTAGGGTCTAGTAGATCGCGATACCATTCCTTCCCTTGTAAGCCAGCTGCAGTAGACCGAGTTCGTCCATCGATGTCTAGGTCATCCATCCATGTCTGGAACTGACCGTCCAGTTGTGGAGGAATGGGACATGCTGGGTCATATGCGTCCACGGTGATCCTACGCCGGCCGGTTGGTGTGTATATACCCTTCAGTTTCCACGAATAATGGTGCTTGCGTAGCCCCCGGCCAGTTGGGGCATGCTGAAGGTCAGTTTCGTCCTGGTCAAGATACGGTTCAACCTAAACCACAATAAACACGTAAGGTGGAGTAATGGCAATTGACGAAATGCATGACATTAAGTTTACCTTAACGATCGCGTCGGGTGCCCAGTCCTTATATGGACGCCTAACTCGTCGTCTCGTGGGCTGTGTATCTGGCTGAGCATCCGGCTCTTGCCTGCCAACGGTGAGATCCTAATGCACAAGAAATATTAATCACATTACAATATGTGAATCAGGGATGTATACTAGCATTACAGAAGGTGGTTACCTGAATTACGGCCACCTGAGGTACATGGTCATCTGTATGATCCACTTCCGAGCCATCAGGCCGTCTCCCGATCGTAATGTCCTGAAATTCCATAACATGATGTAAGACAAGGTCATAAATAATCCGACGAGGAAAATAAGTACGAGTTACCTGATTGGGATCCTCGTCACCATCCGTTATCATACCATCATCCTCCTCCATTATCATAGGATCATTGTCCCTTCTCTTCGGATCCTCGTCGACACTATTCGGACCATGTCCCGACATCGGTTCCTTTTCAGTCTAGAGGTCTTCATCCGTCCTTTGGTCCTCATCAGGCCTCTGGTCCTCGTCCATACTCTTCCGACCTCTATCTGGCTTCGGGGACTCATCAGGCCTTTGATCCGATGGACCGTCATCATCGGGCCCACCCCTACCTCCGAAATACTTGCTCGAATCAGGGAATTTACCCTGCACCCAAAACACTGGCCCATGAGCATTATTGTAATAATTAAAAACAAATTTGTATACATATTAAATTAGTACCTTCGCCAGTTTCTTTAGGTATCTCTGAATACCTTTCAGGGCGACTCCAAAGTCACCCAGTTTGTCCTCGATAGCACCGACACGGTTATCCAGCCTCTTCAACCGTCTGCTGATCCTCTTCTTGAATTTATTCTTCTTCGACCTCTTCTCTAACCCTTCACCGTCGTTTGCACTGGGTCTAGCCTCGTCTACCGCATGTGCATCTACTACCGGATCCTCTAGAGGACCAGATATAACACGAACTTCTGGTGGAAGAATGACACGAACCATGTGTTGTTCCTCAGCATCCGTCGCCAACAAGTGTTCCTTAACCTTGGACTGCAAAAAACCTATGATTAGATCGAAATGAAAAACCAAATATGAATCATACGGCCAAAAGAGAATTACTTACCCGCGTGTTATCGAAAACCTCACTCGCCAGCACACGAAACCCGCGCGAATAAGTGCACGACCACCTGAGAAGTCGAGGAATGGCGTCATCGCTCAACCTCGTGGCTACTCGCAGGCTCAACGTCGAGATCGTCTCATACGCCGATACCTGGAATCGATGAAAGGCAAATAAATTATGCAGTTGAATAATGTATAAAATTATACAATTGACTTAAACCTCGCTAACCTGAAATGCGTACGGAAATCCGTACAGACTATAAGTCTTAACGTGTGAGGGGTCCGCTGTTGCCTTCTGTTGGTACGCCGACAATTTATCCTTCAGGGCGTTCTTGAGACTCCAAATCGTCTTATCAAAAATCATCGAACTCCAGTCATAGTTGCAGAACACCTCCCACCGATCCACAACACCTAACAGGGCCGTATCTATGAACTGCTTCCTCTCCTTCCCCATCATGGCAAGTTCTATGAAGTAAACTATGCCAACCTTCACAACATCCTCATCGTTGTCAAAAACGTCATCCAAACAAATCTTCTCCAGCTCACTACACTTAACCCTAACACTGTCTTTAAAGTAACGTGTTCTTAGTCTTCGTCCAGGAATATGATTATCTACCCTATTCATCCTATGACTGAGCCCGATGATTAGGTCGAACTCTCGCTTACCAAAAGACACCCTCTTCCCAAACAAGTCAAAGCTAATGACGTCCTGTCTAGGCTCTTCAACCTCTCTCAACAACAGGTGATGGATCAATGGACCGTTGAAAACAACGTCCGTGTCCAAAATAGGACCGAAACATGTTTGCCTAAACATGTCTAACTGGGTTGGGGTTAGCCTGGCCTTAATCCTAGTACTGGTTTTATCAACATGGGCAAGGTTCGTCAACGTGGCCGGAAACCAGTCATTACGATCTATGATGAGTCTCAAATCCATTCTAGGTTCATAACAAAGTTGAAATAAAACATATTAGATACAGACTAAGCTAAAGTGACA